GCATAGTTTCCAGCTGAAAAAAACACCACAGACCAACATGAGGTCCTTGCTGGTCTAAGCTAGTCGCTCTGGTGCTTATCTAGCATGCAAAGAGCACTGTATCATTAATTTAGATTGTCTTTATTAGTCTATGATCTATATGTTTTTGTTTCGACCATAGCATTTTGAATGTTTGGTAGGAATGTGCCATTAGCATTCATAATAGTTCAACATAGCATTTTTTATTAATCTACACTGCTAGCATGTGTAAGCTCACAAATTGCCACTTTTTTGACTGAAGACATAAAACTCCTCCATTGTCACTGACCTAATGGCATGCTGATTTTTCTTAGCCTAGTTAAGGCTACCAGAGCTAACTACGCTAACTTAGAGATTGTTTTCTAGATTAAACCTCAAGGCTCTCAAGGACAGCATACAGGGCCATTTCATGCTATAAGTTTTCTAAGCAGTCCCTTTGGGGCCCCAAGCCACAAGGAGCCACTGTTTTTTAATATATTTTATTATTTATTAGCATTTTTTAGCTAATTAAGAAATTAAATAAAAAGAAAAATTTAAAAAAAATTGTTAACATGTGAGCGTAATAATTTATTTTCATTTCCTGATACAAAATAATATGATTAGAGTGAGTGGGAACCCCAAACAAGAAATTCAGTGGGGGCTCCCAGATGCCTTGTATATACGTTCATTGTCCAGGACCATCACATCCTGCATTGGTTACTTATCCTTACTATAGTACTATAGTTGGCCATGTGGTATAATTTCTGATCTCTTCCTTATCAGGAATGAAAGTAAACCTTTTTCCACAACTATATAAAGGACTATTTGAGAAGCACTCCTCACATCACTTTTTCCATACATTATACACTTTCTGTGTAGATGTTAAATACCTGTGTCGTAACCCTGAGCCACCGTAACTCTCTATACCCTCGTTGGCGAGACCATGATAACGACGTAAAGGCTCTCGATGTGAGAGGAGAATGTCCTGAGTCAGCAAAAGACTGGTGAGAACGAGATTCTGCAGATGGAGTGGGGGGCTTACACTAAACTGGCTGTGGTGCCCCCCCACTGCCCCTCCTTGACAGGACACACATCACACGTTTAAGTGCAGGGGCCTCCTTGAGGAATCTTAGCCTGCAGTAAAAGAGCTGAGGCACACAAAATCATCCGAACAAGGAGCTCACTGTGGTTGCAGCGTCTCATTCATAAGAACTTGGTAATGCATTGCAGGCCAGATCCATCAAATCCATGTCATATCTTATTTCACTGCCTATGCAATTAGTCATAGACAAATATACAATTGTTGCTAGTTAATTTATGTCATATGGCCTGTTAGAATGTATTGAGTGTCACAAGGGACATTGTCAGAAATGTTTCAGACACATGGAGAACTGAAGCATCAGGCCAAAATATAAAGGGTTCTTTGGAGTGATGCCACTTTTAGTTCACTAAAGAACTTTTCATCTCAGTGGTTTCAGTTGACTTCTTTGAAGCATCCAATGATCTTTTGGGAAGTTGTTGTTTTACAGCATCACTCCAAAGAGCCCTTATTAACACTTTCATGTGTCATACATATGTTGTATGTTGTAAATTTGTATGTACATAATATTCTGTAGTGCAGCACTATATCCACTTCATCAGTTTGACAGAATTGACAGTTGTATATCATTTGCATTATTTAATTCAGCAATGTTCCTACAATAGCTAGCATGCATTATGCAAACATGTCACACAACTGCTGGAAATCCCTGTGGTGTCAACCAATCCTGACCTAGACCTAGACCCTGATTTCTAGGCTAATAGATACAACCAAGCCAGCATTGGTAAAACTTTTGGTCACCAAACAGCATCTTGAAGGAAGTCTTGATTTTGACTTTATTCAACACAAAATGGATAATGGAGACAAATTTTCACCCTTTCAGTTAGAGAAAAGAAGCCAAATCCGAAGTGAGGTATCTAGATAGCCAGCTACCTTGCTAAATTTAACATTTTAGTTCTTGCTCTCCTTATCTGATGAGCCATTGAGTAATCCATTCTCTCCGTTGTGACAATGATTTGAAGATATTTAGCTTCTTAGCAGTAACGTTAGCTGTCTGCCTCGTTCACCAGCTAACGAAAGGAACAAAAATCAATACACCCCACAACAATCCACCCCATTGCAGTTGAAGTTTTTGAAGTCCTTCCACCTTCAAGATACATCCTCAGGAGGGGGATTTTCCTAGTTTTTAAACTGTAAAATCTCACTCTGCAGATGACAGCAGCACCACTGTAAGATATGAGTAAGCTTGTTTACAACAGATGTAGTGATATATTTTTATTTTGGCCAGAATATCCATTCAAGAGTGCAGCTCTGGTGCTTGTTGTGCTCTGCAAGTCAACAACATAGCCAGCATGATGATTAAATCACAATGGCTTTGGCTGAGAGTAACAAGGCCGGAACTTTAAAAAGGATAGGCCAGAGTGAAAAAGACTGACGGATGGGTGGCATAGTGAGGAGAGATAAAAAGGACAGAAAAAGAGACAGAAAGAGAGCAGGCTCCTGCTTGTGACCCAGATTGGTAGGAGATTTGATGGAGAGCGACAATGCAGGCAAACAAATGCGGAGCGGTCGCTGAAAGACAGCGAAAGATCAGAGATGAGGGAGGGAGCATGGGGGAGAAGTGCTATGATCAAACAGAAAGAGTCAGACAAGAGCAGGGGGGAAGCTGGAGGGGGTCATGGTGGGACGTGCAAGGGCGGTAAGAGGTAATGGTGAACTCTGGGGGTGAGCTGGTTGGGGGCGTGAGATTCTAAAGCGAGGGGGCATTTGAAAATGATGCATTCAGAAGCATCCCCAGCTTGGATGCCAACTAACGACACCTGCTTGAACAAAGCTGCCCCACCTCATTTTCCTAAAGGGGCTATCATAAGTGGCGGCATAGCTTCTTATGAAGTAGGTCCAAAACAGCAATCTGCGCTAATCTCTGAATAAAGACTGACCGCTTCAACCAGTTCACAAAACGGGCAAAAACTGGAAGGGAGATGTGAATGTTGTGAAGGCCAGCAGTGGTCATTCTAAAAGTGGCTGAGGTCAAAGCCTGTGGAAACTAACAACGTTTCACCAGAATTCCACATCAAACCCAGCTCCCAGGAAAGCAAACACTGACACAGATGCCTCAGCGAAGACGTAATGTTCCAAGACATGCATACATAGTCCTCGAGTTCAGTAGCCAAATAAATAATTTGTGATGGAAAGTTATACAATCACATAGAGTCCATACAAATGATTATTTATTGTATTGCTTTTGTTGTTCGACCCACTAAAAAGCAAAATGCTGTTATACTGTTAATACTGTTAAACTGGGTAGGCCTCTCAGGCCTGGTTTTAGAATGGCCTCAGGCCTGGTTTAAATCATATTTAATAAAAGACAGTTCTTGTTTCATGAGATCATTCATCAAAAAAATGTCATATTTCTTGTGGAGTCCCTCAAGGGTTAATCTTAGAGTCTTTGTTTTTCTCTCTCAAAAAAAAAAGAGCTCATATCACACCAGCATTTTGAAAGAACTGCATTGGCACTTCCTGTGTAGAGTTTCAAGTTCTTTGACTAGGTTTTAAAACTGTTTACGTTCCAACAAGTGATCTTAGATATGCAGATACAGGCCTTCCACAGATACCTTCTGTAAAACACAGAAAAGGCATGGAGATGCCTCTTTTATTATTATGCTTTTAAAATTCCACCAATTCCACCATTTATTAGGAGGTCAAAAGCTCAGGACACATTTTTACAGACATCTTTATTAGTTAAAATTCTACCTCTTTTTGAATGTATCTTTTTAATTTGTCATTGATCACATGATTTGAAATTAATACTCTTTACTATTATTTATATTATAATGTTAAAAATGATAACTTTATTTAAAGAGCACCTTTCATACCCGTGGCAGCTTATATTGCTGATGTCATTGTAAGCTATGTCAAAATTACATTACAGCATATCAACATTCAATACACAGTGAAGTATTGAAAATATAAATCATAGTAATAAACTTATTACTATGTGTTCAGCTACACATCAAAGTTTTCATCATTTTTATAGCTCACAGTAAGTCATAATGTCCTGAACCAAATCGGTGTAACCTTATTAAAGACCTGCATGCAGTTTGAGCAGGTTGGTAGAAGTTTGGGTGACTATTGGCTTCTACGCTGTTAGAAATAAATGTATTATGCAGGTATATGTTTTATCTTGGCTAATCAACTACACCTGTGGAAAGTGGAAAATATATTTTTTTTATTTTCTAAACATCTGTTTATCTGTTAGCCAATAACATGAACATAAATAAAGTCTTTCCACATCCTAGATAACCCATTGTACTATCTGCCAAACACACAAGAAAGATGCATTTATAGTCATATGCAAAATTTTGAACACCCCCATTTTTTTCCTGCAAATTTTAGTTCATTTAGTTTCTTGCCATAATAACCTTTTGCAAAGAAACAAAGAACAGTGCATTTGTGTGGCCACTAGAATCTGCAAACGCTAATACCCCTGGCTTCTGAAGCTATGTTCAGCAAGCAAAATTTGTTTTTCATCTGTTTAAGGATTTGATTGTTTACATACATTGCAAACGTGATCATTTGGTGAAATTATTGCATTGTTGTATGAGCATGACTTAGGTAAGAATAGAAACAGCCTCGTTTTATGGGATTTAGACTGTTTATACTTCAAAATAAATGGAATCAAAATGGCTTTCTATGTCTAAACAATGGCAATGTTCACTCTTTTGGAAGTTCCAGTGAAGAGAGTAAGAAGAACCGTGCCTTGACGAACCTTTAAGAAATCACAGGTCTTCCTGGAAAAGTTCTGCATAGAATCTTTAATCCAAGGCGATAGAGAACATTAACACTTTTAACTGTATTCAAAGCACTATAATAATAATGAGGTCAATTTAATAAGTTACATAGGACTAAAAGTTCCTAGGAGTTGCTCTGAGTAAACCAATTCTGTGTTTTCTCTTTCCTGGAGGACTGATTAGCCATGCAGAATTCCTGGAAGAGTCTGGCTATGGTCCATCCTGGGGCCGACACAGCGCATGAAGGGGGCTCGGTGGAGAAGATGGTATATCTTTGCTCAAGATTAAGGAATAGCAAAACAATGGAAGTTATTTATTAAGATAAGAAGAAGCTGCTGACTGAGCTTCCTTTTTAAAGCGATCTGTCCCACTTACTTCTACCTTTTGTCTTTTAGGTTAGCACATTGACCTGAACACATGGAAATAATCATCTCCATCACTGTCATTGTTTTTGACCAAGAGGAATTTGTGGAACGTTGGCTTGATCCTGCTTCTGTCATTTCATAGGTCATTTCAGTTGTGACTTGTCACTTTCCAACATGTGCAAAGCTGCGGAAATGTAAGTTTGTCAACAGCAGGAAAGAAAATGTATCGTAGAGTCGTAGATTTAAAGATGTTTTTTTTTTTTTCAAAATTTCTATACAATTCAATTGTTGAGATGTAAACAGTCATTCAGAGTGGTTTGATGTGACTCGGATTTCTTTACAGTGGTGGTAATAGGAACCAGGGGTCACAATGTCACAAACACAGCCATTTATTTTACTATCCAAAATGAGCCTAGACATATCTTCTGAGTTTTTATATGCAGTGTTAGTTCTGGATCATTGAGTTATCAGTCCCTGGGCACAAATGTTTGGTGTGCCTACCTGGCTACCTTTTTGACTAACCATGATGTTTAGCATGTTACCGCTGAGCCCACGCCCATAAAACACATGGGATAATCCAGGTCTGTGTAAGGTTGACCATGACAAAATAGTGATAAAGATTTCTTTGGGGACTATTCTGCCTTGCAAAACCCTGCATGTACGTCTCCACCATTAATGTTTTAGGCCAAAACATTCTCTCAAAATTATTCCAAGTCAATGTCGCAGGCATCAGATAGCATATTCGTAACCTTTTCATGTAATAACTTTTGGTGAGGGAGCTGTTAGAGGCATTAAACTCTTCAGACATCTGGTTCCTATCACCAACACTGTGAACAATTCTGACTCCACCTTTCTTGAGATTCTGACTAGTCATTTTCTTGAGAACTGAGCAAATCACCTTGAACCACTTAGTATGACTTTGCGTATGTCTTTCTGAAAAAGTTTCGAAAAACTGATGGAACACAGGGGGAACATATCCCTTCAGTGTTTGGAAGAGGATGAATTGTTCCCCCAGTAATTCAGTCTAAACATATCTGAAAATATGTTTAAATATGTTTAAATCATTTTGATTTTTAGAAATGATGGCTTAAATATAGAAGTTCTTTGGTTTAATTCATATTTTCTATTATGTCTTCACAAGCGTGTGAACAGACTCTGTAAACAGTCTGCATATTTCATGTTCCCTTACTGTAGCAGACCAGCTCCACTGTTCTAATGTTCAAGACTGTTAAGGATGTTTAGAAGTAAGTAAGGTTAACCAAGACTTCCTGTGAGAATGTAAGTCACTGACAGCTTGTTATCTACCGAAGGCTGTAGTTCTTCCTTGATTAAAAACACTGATGCTGTAGCCTAGTTTACTGGTGCCAGCTAGCTAGTTTAGTAAGTCTATCAGATTTGGTAATTTTTGTTAAACCTATAAAAAACCCTCTACATCTAAAGATGTACTTCTGCACCTGAGTGAGACCTGTGTACATCTTACTAGCATTGTTATGAGTCCAGTTTTAGAACGGAAAGTCCAGTTTTGAGCACCGTTGAAAATTGATAATTATCAATTTTCCTGGAAGTTATGTTGCGTGCAGCTTGCAATATGCAACTAGTTGCATGCAAGTATCGCCTAAGACTTTATTCTAAGGCAGTGTTACACAATGACACAATTATCAACTGAACACTGAGCCCCAAGTTTAAGGAGTGAAAATCTGCAATCTGGCACAAAAAGCAACAAAAATAACGACCTCAAAATTCAGCTGTGTGGAAAACGCTTGTAGGGTAAACAGTTGGCCACTGAAACTGTACTCCCAAGCACCTTCATTTGTAATCTACTCCAGGAATGATGTTTATATCTCTCACTGTGCTGTTAGGAAATAAAGTGAATGCAACTGACACACCATCTAAACACGCTGCATCTGCCTAGAGGTCATTTCACGTATTTAAAATTTAATGTGTTTTTATCTCTGGCTATAAAATACACTAAGATTGGCACATAAAGATTTGCTTAATCTCAGCACTGACATGCCTATATAATAATATGGGTTTGACTATAAACACATTTCGGTGGTGAATCAGAACTATTACAGCTAGGCCTTCAGTTCAGGCCATAAATGTCAAAAAGTGAGAAGAAATCTACCTTGACAATAATGCTAATTTCTGCTAATGCTTATGCACGTGAAGATATTTGGCCATTCTAGATTACACACAGACATTTTAAGCTTGTAACAGACAATGGCATATATTTTACCTTGTATGTAGCACTTTTACAGTGACTCAGTAAAGAGCCCTGGCATCGAGCTGCAGTTTTTTTCTCTTTCTAACAACTGACTGAAACCTGGTAAGATTACCGTGTATTCATAATCAGGGACGTGTCTTGGACTTTTAGAAAACATAAGGCCTTCCCCTTTCCCAGTAATGTGAACGGACAACATGAAAAGAAGCACAAATGATAAACAGGTGATGAAATAAGATATTAAAGATAGTCAATGCTTTAAATAGCAGATATACCACAGTTCAAACGAGAACCTGTGACAAAACAAATTCATATAAAGAAAGAAGCATTTCCAGTGGTTTAGTGATGAATCTAGGGTATGATGCCAGTATTGAATGAACCCCATAATGAGTGCCAACCTGTGTAAAATGTAAACAAATTTAAATAAAAACAAAATGCAATAATTTGCAAATGTCATAGACCCATATTTTTTCTCAATAGAACATAGAACACATATCAGATGTTGAAAGTGAGACATTTTACCATTTCATGATAAATATAAACTCATTTAGAACTTGATGGCAGCAACACATCTTAAAAAAGTTAGGACAGGGCCATGTCTACCATTGTGTAGCATCCCCTCCTTTTTTAACAACAGTCTGTAAACATTTAGGAAGTGAGGAGACTAATAGCTGGACTTTTGGGAGAGGAATCTTATGCCTTTCTTGACTGAATTCTAGCTGCTCAACAGTCCTGGGTCTTCTATGCTGGATTTTTCATTGCATGATGTGCCAAATGTTTTCTATTGGTAAAAGGTCTGGACTGCAGGTAGGCCATTTCAGCACCTGGACTCTTCTCCCGTGAAGCCATGCTGTTGTGATGGATGCTGTATGTGGTTTAGCATTGTCTTGCTGAAATATGTAAGGCCTTCTCTGAAAGAGACATTGTCTGGATGGGAGCATATATTGTTCTAAAACCTCTATATACTGTTCTGCATTAATAGTGCCTTTCCAGATGTATAAGCTGCTCACACCATAGGTACTAATGCAATCACCTACCATCAAAGATGCAAGCTTTTGAACTGTGCACTGATAACAAGCTGGATGGTCCCTCTCCTCTTGAGTCCACAGGACATGGTATCCGTGGTTTCCAAAAAGAATTTCAAATTTTGACCACAGAACAGTTTTCCACTTTTCCTCAGTCCATTTTAAATGAGTTTTGGTCCAGAGAAGATGGCAGCGTTTCTGTATCATGTTGACATATGGCTTATTCTTTGCATCATGCAGCTTTAAATTGCATTTGTGGATTGCATGGCGAACTGTGTTCACAGACAACGATTTCTGGAAGTGTTCCTGAGCCCATGCAGTGATTTCCAGTACAGAATCATGCCTGTTTTCAATGCAGTGCTGCCTGAGGGCCCAAAGATCACGAGCATCCAATATTGACCATTCTCTGAAACTTTTGATGATATTATGTACTGTAGATGGTGGGATATCCAAAGTCTTCAATTTCTGAAATTGTTCCACAATTTTTAGACACAATTTTTCACAGATTGGTGAATCTCTGCCTATCTCTGCTTCTGAGAGACTCTGCCTCTCTAAAATGCTCTTTTTATACCTAGTCATGTGAGTTAGTTGCAAATTGCTCCTCCAGCTGTAGATCATCGTCATAAATACTCACAGTACTTCCACCCCAGCCATTTAGACAAGGTTTACACACATAATTACACCCTAGGAGGGTATTCATTTAAAGCTAAGTACTCCTCGGATCTTAAGTAGATCAAAAATGTGTTTAGATCAAGGGTGATGGCAGTGGAAAAGAATAAAATGCTGTACTTATAAACAAATTAGATTCTTAAAGGCAATTTTTGAGGATTTTCCCACAGTATGAATGGGGGAACCTCAAGGAAACTGGTGGATAATGTTAGATATTAGATTACCCAGCATTTTTAAATGTGCATCTTCAAAATATGCCTTATGATTTTTACCAATAAATGTGTGATTCTAGTGCATTTTCTGTATTCAAAACGATACAAGACATTTTCCCGTTAGAGTCAAAAACTGAAAGCTGAAAGACTTTTCCTTCAAAACTTGACTTTTCTTTCAATCAGAGTCTCTTTCCATTTTACTAAAGCTGGAAGAGCAAAAATATGTCTGCAGGTTTCCATGTCTGCATGTTTCCTGCCAGGAACAGTTTTTTTGATTGATTATTACAAATAAATCAGTTTAATCTCAACTTAAACCTCAGACTTTAAACATATTTATATTTCTTGCATAGAGGAGGAAAAAAGTTGATTAAGAGCAGTCTGGAAAAAAGAACATATATATATATATATATAAGAAGATAACTGAATTGGTTTATAAACTAAGAGGTTTAGCCATTTTCTAATAGCAGCACCATAAATGTTAATAAATTAATTGCAACTACCAAACAAGCCTTTCATTAAGTAATATGTCAAAAAAAAAAATGAAAACACTGGCCATCAGGAGGACCAGGGGGGCCACTATACGAGAGAGAAATGCATGATCGTTTCTAATGTAGTCCTATATAAAATGAATGAAGACTGCCTAGGACAAACAAAAGTAACAGGTGAATACAGGAGTGCACATATCTACATCACATATCACATCACTGCATTCTCAGTGTGTGGCCATCAGCCGCCGCCCCCAGAAGAAAGCATAATGATAACCAGGAAAGTTAAGTTGTAAAAGGCTAGCTAGAAGGATATGGAGAAACCTCCAAACAGCTTAAAGGGGAGGCAGTGGGTGCATGATAAAAAACAGAAAGTTACTTAAACAATAAACAAACAGATGAAGAATTGGAAGTACATGATTTGTTTGCATATTAGAGCGAGGAACCGCAGGGCCAAAGTGCAGAAGTCCTCAGCATACTTCTTCCAGACACAATATTCGCTTGGCTTTGGTGAAAAATTGGATGTAATTGCGGAGAAAAGCAACAGCCA